TAGTTTCCTAAAACGTGAAGGTGTGTATGTGTGTGTGAGCGTGCGAGCATACACCTGTGTGTGTATGTGTGTGAGCGTGCGTGCACACACCTGTGTGTATGTGTGTGAACGTGCAAGCACACACCTGTGTGTATGTGTATGTGTGTGAACATGTGAGCACACACCTGTGTGTGCATGTGTGTGAGCGTGCATGCACATACCTGTGTGTGTGAGCATGTGTGCACACGCCTGTGTGTATGTGTGTATGTGAGTGTGCGTGCACACACCTATGTGTGTATGAGTGTGTGTGAGCTGTGTGAGCGTGCGTGCACACACCTGTGTGTATGTGTGTGAGTGTGTGTGCACACACCTGTGTGTATGTGTGTGAGTGTGTGCACACACCTGTGTGTGAGCATGCGTGCACACACCTGTGTGTGTAAGCATGTGTGCACACACCTGTGTGCATATGTGTGTGTGAGTGTGCATGCACACACCTGTGTGCATATGTGTGTAAGTGTGCATGCATATATCTGTGTGTGTGAGCATGTGTGCACACACCTGTGTGTGTGAGTGTGCATGCACACACCTGTGTGTATGTGTGAGCGTGCATGCACACACCTGTGTGTGATCGTAAATGCACACACCTGTGTGTATGTGTATGAGTATGCGTACACACACCTGTGTGTGTATGTGTGTGTATGAGTGTGCGTACACACTCCTGTGTGTGTGCTGAGGGTCTGGTGCTTGCTGAGCACACCCTCTGCCTCTCAAGCACATTCCCGACCCTTCCACACTTTGGCCACTTTTTGGGGGGTCTTGTTCATTTCCTGCTGGGGGCAGGCCTCTGAGCAGGTACTCCTACCCAAGTTTCCAGCATGGCTGAGACCACAGCACAGGCGCTGTGCCTGGCTTGTTTCTGGAGATGGGGTTTGCGAACATGTTGCTGGGGCTGGTCATAAAAGTCGTCCTCTCTATCTCTGCCTCCCAAGTGGCCAGTTGCAGGGATATTACCTTCACGTCTGGCACGTGTCTGTATGTCTGTGTTAAAGGTGCTGGAGGGCTTTCAGGGTAGAGGGCTTGCCCAACAAGTACAGGGTCTTGAGTTCAAACTCAGCACTGCTGTCACCAAAGGAAGAGAACAAAATAACACAAAGGCCTGCCTTTAGTAGAAAACCATTGAAGTTATAAATCCAGCCGGCGTGAAGTTACAAACTTGTAGATGGACATGCATAAACAGCTGTAACTGATCGTACTTCACCTGGCTTCTACCATGGTGACCGGGGAAATGTCTGCCCGGGGTCCGCTGTGCTGGCTCTGATGAAGACGGTCACCTCTAAGGGGTACAGACACGGAGGAACAAGGTGGTGCCCACCAGACACCATGCTGATGATGAGCTCTACGACCTGTGGGTGGAGATGGGAGGGAAAACTCGGGAGAGAGGAAGGCAAGGGGTGACACTGCCCCAAATGTACTCATGACCTGACTTGCATCACTGTAGCTCCTCCGTAAATCACCTTCATCATAACAATAAAAAAAAAAAAGAATGCGTCCCGAGCATCACTCAGTGGCAGGGCCACGGGCCGGGCTTCCCGGGCACACAGGCAGGAGAGCCGGCCCCAGGGCCCCTGCTCTTCTGCAGGTGGGTGGGGCTTCATGTTGACTCATGGGAACAATCCATCTTTGTTCCCCAGTGAGCTGAGACCTGGGTAGGTGGGGTTCTGCCTGCCCAGCACCCGGCTTCTCCACCCCCAGGAGGGAGCGGGAGGTGATGAGGAACTGCTTCAGTACTGAAGGGACGTCCAAGGCCTTTGTGCCCAGGAAGAGCCTGGTCTGGGTCCACAGCTCTGAACATTTCTTGCTGTCTCTAGACAGTCACAGGTTGGGAGTCTAGGGAAACATCCCTAACACAACCCTTCTCTCTCCCCCCCCCCCTCTCACTCTGTCATTGGTCATAGGGCTTAAACTCAGGCCTTGGTGCTGTCTCTGAGCTTTTTAGCTCAAGGCTAGCACTGTACCACCTTGAGCCACAGCTCTACTTCTGGTTTTCTGGTGGTTCATTGGAGGTAAGAGTCTCATGGACTTTTTGGCCCTGGCTAACTTCCAACTGTGATCTGTAGATCTCAGCCTCCTGCGTCGCTAGGATTACAGGTGTGAGCTACCAGCGCCCCGGCTGCCCTTTTCTTTATTAAGGAAAGGATTTTCCCCCAACTTTTCACCACCACCGATTTTTCTTTTCTTTCTTTTTCTTTTTTTGTCAGTTGTGGGGCTTGAACTCTGGGCCTGAGTGCTGTCCCTGAGGTCCTCAGCTCAAGACGAATGCTCTATCATTTGAGCCTCAGCGCCACTTCTGGCTTTTTCTGCTTATGTGGTGCAGAGGAATTGAACCCAGGGCCTCATGCATGCAAGACAAGCACTCTATCACTGAGCCACCTTCCCAGCCCTCGATTTTTATTTTCTAATACAATAGTAGGGAAGCCAAACACTATCATGTTTGACCAGCATGACAATCTATTCCCTGAGGTTTTCACATATGCACAACCTTCGTGGCCAATTAGCGTTTTCATGTGTGCATTGTGAAAAGCAACCCGTTTATCCCCAGGATCCTCCTTCTGGTCTCCCACTCAGGTGGCCTCATCTCAGATGCTCTCTGCAGCCATCTCTGAGATGCCTCTGCTGTCCCCAGAAAGCAGGGCTCCGCTCATTTCACCTGATCTGATGGATGTCCTCATCCTGACACTTCACCGTGAGACCTGGGCCAGGTCTGAGGCCCCTACGATCACTCCTGCTGCCCACCCAGGGTCAGCAGGCCATGGAGGACAGCAGACAGAGATAGGGAACTGGGAATCAAGACCCAGTGTGGAGGGGCAACCTCCTAGACACCAGGCTACACAGAGAAGCGCTGCAGACCTCCCGGGGGTACTTCCACCGTCCTGCGTGGACATCATGCTATGGGGGTAAGCTGCCTTAGAATTCCCAGAGACATCAGGAATTCAGAACCACTTACCTAGCAGAAGGCCTCCCAAGGCCTAACAATAAACTCCACCTATTGTCCACTGACTTCAAGGACAGGGCTGTGAGGAGATGCTCCCCCCAGCCTGGAACGGGCCATGGAGAAGGGAGGAGGAGACCCAGGGACCACCCCTTTCTCTGCAAACACTGGCGAAAAGGGAGCCACTAGATGGCAGCAGTGTCCCGTGGTTTCTTTCCAAACCAACAAGGCAGGTTTTTGAGATCTTGGGTCTAGGGGTGGGAGGGGGACCCCAATATTAACACACCAACGCAGTCGTATTACAGCATCCCATTGCAGAATGCACTCATCTTAGTTTACAGCCGTTTCCCGTCCAGTTCGTACTTGTGATCCAGGGAGAATCGCCTCCTAATATACAACCCTGCCCAAGGAAACCCTGCCCCATGGCAAGCCGAGGCTGATGGTCGCTGGCCGGGACTGGGCCTGCTCAGCCATGACTTGAATAAATTTTACTCTCCGGAGAAAGAAGGTGGCCACATACACACCTTTTTTTTCAACATGCCACACGTGTTTCAGCATGCCACACGTTAGATGAAAGGGACATTCGGCCTGAAGCCACCGGTCACAACTCTGGTGAGGGTGTTTGCGGTCTCAGGTGATACTCAGCAACGCTGATTGGCATCCTAACAACCGAGAGTCACCTGGGACTCCTGGCCGGGCGCTTAGGTGTTGGACACGGTTTTCAGTGGCAGGAATCCTTGGTGACAGGATCACTGGGAGTGGCAGTGTGCACACCGGACCGTTTTTCGGGGGGCAGTCAGCTTGGGGCTTGCTTTCTGATGAGGGGCTGTGAAGAGGCACCCCGTGTGTTTTCAGAAGCATCTCCCTCCAGGCCCTCAGTGAGGGGTGTCACCACAGCGGAGAGGGAAGCAGCAGGTCACAGCCTGAAGCGCAAGCCTGCGGCCTCCTACTGGGAACTCCCACGTTGTGGGAGCGCTTCTGTCCTCCTATTCTTTGCACTGAGATAAGCGAAGGCTCAATAGGATTCTGCCCGGTGGAAAATCCAAGTCCTGTCAGGAGCGCTGCGCTGCACTAAGCTGGCCCACCCAGTCCCCACGCTGCACAGCCTGGTGGAGCTCCGCGGAGGAGCAGAGCTGCACCGGCAGGCTGGGTGCCTCTGTGCTCACATTTCGTGCCCGAGGCACGCGAGTGCTCCACTCCTGCTCAATTCTTATGTCCTCTAGAGACCACAGGAGCAAGAGGAATCCGGGGCTCATGCAGCAGGCACACAACACATTACACAGGCTAAACAGCAGGCCCACAACACGAGCATGGTTGACTCCCCTAGCCTCGGAAAGAAGGCCCAAGTGCAGGTGTGCTGGCCGGCCCGGGGCGTGGCTGGTCCGGGACCCCTGCCCGGTGCATGGCTGTCTCTCCATTCCCACAGGGTCACGCTTGTCCCCGGAAGGGCAGGGCGTCCGGGGGAGGAAAAAAAAACCCCTCAGAACACGCAGAGTCCAAGTCACCAAACCCCACCCCGATTCTGGAACTATCTAAACCTTCTTGCCCAGAATGGTGAATCCTGGAAATGTCCCTTAAGGAACACTGGCATTCGGGTGCTTCCTCTGTTTGTTTTGTTTTTCAGTTAAGCCCCTGCCTTTCTCTAAAACGTCCTATAATCTCCAAGCTTCTTCAGGCCTCCTCCACTGAGTGAGTGCGAGTGCGCACAGCCTCTGCGGGCTGCACCTGCTCTGAGCGCACTCCCCTGCTCTCCCCCCTCCTCGCTCACTGGGGGGGGGGGTCCCTCTGCTGTCCCCCTCCCAAGCCACAGACCCCAGTGCCTGGTCTCCCTGGTGCGCACGACCCTGCCCTCCCTCGCCCTGGGTCGTGCAGTTTGCGCATCTGGCCAAGGCCCCAGCCAGACTTGGGGACATGGGGGGCGGGGCCAGCGCGTTCCCCAGGAGAGAGAATTCTCGAAGTCAACCCTGGGAGGCCCCTGCCCCCGTCGCGGGGTTGCGGGGTGCTGGTTCCCCTCCTAGTGCTGGTTCCCCCCCTAGGCGGGGTCTGGGCGGGGGACGCCCCCCCCGCAGCCGCCCTCGCCCCGCACGCGCCCTCCTCCACCCCTCCACAGCGGCCTGGGCTTCCCCGCCGCGGACGCCCAACAAGTCCGCCCGCTCCGGCCCGCGCGCAGCCGCGCCGGGGGCGGCACGGAGCGGAGCGCGGCGCGCGCGGGGCGCCCGGGCCCGAGGCCGGGCTGCGTCGGGGCTGCGCGGCGCCCAGCCTCCGCCTCCCCGCGCGCGCGGGTCGGAGCCGGAGCCCGGCGCCGCGGCGGCGCAGCCCGTCTCCCGCGCTCCCGCCCGCCGCGCGCGCCCCGGCCGGGCTCGCGTCCCCCGCCCCTCCCGCGGCTCCCACGCGCCGCCCGCCCGCCCCGCTCTCCGGCCGCCTCCTCGCCAGGGCTCCCGGCGGCGCGCGCGCCTCGCAGCCTCGCCTCGCAGCCTCGCCTCGCAGCCTCGCCGCGGAGCCCGGCCGCCGCCCCGCGCCTCGCCTCGCCGCGCCGCCTCGCCGCGCAGCCCGGCCCCGAGCGCGGCCCGGCCCCGACCCGGGGCCCCCGCGGAGCCGCGCGGCCCGGCGCTGGCTCCCGCCCGATGCTAAGAGCGGCCGGCGGGCCGGGCGCCCGGACCTGCGCGAGGCGAGCGGCGCGCGGCGGGTCCTGCCCGCTCCCCGGGCGGCTCCCCGGCTCCGGGCGCAGCCCCGCGGCGCCCCGGCGGCCCTCGGCGCGGCGCGCGTGGACCGGCCGCCGACATGACCGCGCGGAGGACGCTCCGGCCGCCGCCACCGCCGCTGCTGCTGCTGCCGCTGCTGGCGGCTCTGCGCGCGGGGCCCCTCGCCGCAGCCAAGGGTAAGCCGCGGGGCCGGGCGCGGGGCGGGGGCCCGGGCGAGGGGCCGGGCGTGGGGCGGGTACCGGGGTGCGGGTGCCGGGGTGCGGGGGCGGGTGCCGGGGCGCGGGGGCCGGGGCGTGGGGTGCGGGGCGTGGGGTGCGGGATCCGGGACGGGGTCGGGGCGCGGGGCCGGGACGGGGGTCGGGGCGCGGGGCGGGGGCGCAGGGCCGGGACGGGGGTCGGGGCGCGGGGCCGGGCCGGAGCGGGGGGCCGGAGCTCGCCCCGCGCTCCCCGCGACCCTCCGGCCGCCGCCGGCCTCCGCTCCTCGGCCGAGTACGGGTGGGTGGGGGCGGGCGCGAGCCCGGGGCTGCTCCCGGGACTTTTCCTCCGTCCCCGGGCGGCCCGGGCGGCCGAGCCTCCGGTCCTCCCTGCCTCCTCCGCCCCGCCGCCTCCTCGCCGGACTCCGCTCCCTCCCCTCGCGCGGCGCCGAGGCGGGCGGGGGTCCCGGCGGCCCGGCCGGGCTCCCGCGCCGGGAACTTGGTGGCCTCGTCCGAGCGACTTGGGCTCTGTTGGCCGCGGACCCGGCCGGCGGCGCGGGCCGGGCGCTCTGCCCGGGGCCCGAGGCGGAGGGCGGGGAGCGGAGCCCGGAGCCGGGCCCCAGGCCGGGTCTCGGGTCCCGGCGGGCCGACCCGCTTTCCCTTCCCCGCCTCGCCCTCGCTGGCTCGCGATCCCGGTGCAGCCCGGCCGGGCGGCGGGGCCACACCCGCCTCGCGACTCCGCACAACTTCGCGCCTCCCGGGGTGCGGGGTGGCGGGGTCGCGGGCCGGCTGCTCAGCGCCCGCGCACGTGCGTGTGCGCGGCGGGGCCGGGGAGCGGCGGGCCGGCCGCGGGGAAGGTCGCTCCCCGCTCCCGGCCGGGCCCCAGCCCGGCCCGGCCTGGAGGACGAGGAGAGGGAGCGGGGCGGGGCGGCGGCGGCTGCGGGACGGCCCCGCGCGGGCCCTGACCTGTTGGCTCGGAGGCGAGAGGCGGGAACCGGAGCCTTGGCGCCGCGCTGCGGGCCGGGCCGAGCGGCGTGGCGACCCTGGGCCCGGGCGGCCGGGCGCAGCCCCCTCGCCCCGTGTCCCCCGGTACCAACACTGCTTCCCGTCTCGGCGGGGACCCGGGGCCGCCAGCCCTTTCCCTTCGGGGCCATTCATTCCAGGCGTCCCTGCTCCAGAGCGCCCGTCCTGCCCCCTTCCGGCCTGGGGTGAGAGGGCGGCGGGCAGCTCCGCTGGGTCCCCCCAAATCCACACCTGGGGCGCAGCCCCGGGCCGGAGCGGCCTCCCCGCGCTGGACGTCCTCATCCGCTCCGCCCGCGGCGGGCCGGGCGGCCCAGTTCCCACCGAAACCCGGGGAGCCCGGAGCTCACCCCGGGACCGCAGGGCCCTTGCACCAGCGCCCCGAGGCAGCGTCTCAGCGCTTCCCTGGGAGGAAGCCGAGCGCCTGAGGGTGAGCGCGGACGGAGCCCCGTCACCACCCTGCAGCTCCAGAGTCTGCAGCCAGGACTTCCCCAGCAATCCTCACTCCTCGCTCGCCGTGTTGGGAACATTAATTTGTTGTTGTTGTTGTTGTTGTTAAATTCAGAACCCGCTCAGCCAAGTCACTTTGGGGCAGCTGCCCCCCATCCAGGCTGCTGCCCGGTCAGCACTAGGGGGTTTCTGGACCCTGCAAAAGTCAGAGGAGAACCTGTCTTCCACAGGCAGGCCTGAGCGGGGAGCGGAGGAGACGGTCTGGCTGTGCCGGTGGTGGAGGGCCTGGGAATTCCCTGGGCCTCGCTCCTCAGCAGTCTTGCTCACAGAAGGTCCAGGGAGAGCATGGTTGTCTCTCTGGGTTGGCCTTCAGCGGGCAAGCGTGCCTGGCGAGGAGACCGTGCCACTCGGGCCAGTGCAGGGCCCCAGGCAGAGCAGCTCCTCTCTCACCGTGTCTGTCTGCAGTTCAGTTTTCTCAGCTATCAACCTGCTTTGAAAAATGTCAAGAAAATGGCTCTTCTTCCTTTAAGAAACAGATCAACAGAGGCTCCGTGGCCACTTAGTGCTTATTGCGAAGGACCAGCAAATCTGGTGTAGACATTTCTAAGCTGTCAGAATGCAAATGGCATATTAAATACTCCACGCTCTGATGAATTCTAAATGCGCCTCTGGTAGCTTTTTTGCTGAGCTCATAGTGAAAGTAAGTGGCTTCTGCTCCCAGACAAGCAAGGTAAGCTCCAGATGCCTTTGGCCTCCCCTCATTTTTCCCTTTCCTCCTTGAGTTTGTTCCTTTTGGTAAGGTAGTTAAAGAGTTGCTGGGATATTGGTTGCACCTACAAAGCGATGAAGGTATGCTTTCTTCAGGTTTGAATTCAGTTGATAAATAGAGGAGGTGTCTGATAAAGGCGGAGATACTCTGTGGTCCACTTTGGCTCTACCGGGGTCTTGGTGCACATTCCATTTACACTCCAGAGTAGGGGCTTGGGTTTCCACACCAGCCCAGTCACGATGAAGACAAACCAGTTTGTTTCTGTGGTTTGCCTGTTACAGGACTGGAGGCGTATAGTTTTTGAACCAGTAGGATTGGCTTGGATGAGCAACCTTAGGCCAAGAAATAGGCACTCTTGATGGTGCGGAAAAGCAATAGGTTCACTGTGTATGAGAGCAACTCTCAGTATGGAAGTTAAATAATTGTATATGGCTATTTCTTCCTAAATGCAAAAGAAAATCTTTTCTCCAAGGACCATTATGCACAACCTTTGATTTCTTGATACATCTGCATTCAAGGTCTAATGTAACCCCTAGCACCAAGGCTGATATGTAAGCAGAATTGCGATCTCTTCTATGTGAAGAAAGACAGAAGGAAATTGTGTGACTTGAGCTGATTAAAATGGACTGGTTGTGGGAGGTTTGTGAAACAGTGTGCACCTTGTTCCTCCGGCCCTGCCCCCACCCCAGGCCCCTCACCCTCTTTGGATGCAGAGTGTGAAACAGTTTTCTTTCGGCGTTCAGCTGCAATGTCCTTTGTATGGTTTCTATCAACCAGGAATTTAGGGGAGAGGAAGGTGTCATCGGCCCTTCAAGGAAGTTGCCTGAATTTTCTATATCCTCAGACACCCTTGTGCTAGCTGGGTGAAGGGTTCCATCATCGATCCGCTCCGGTCTCCTTCAGCAAAACCCCAGATCCTGATGAGAAGCTTCCACTGGGGACAGACATCTCAATACACCTCCCGAGAGGGTGTTGATTGACCCTCTTTGCCAGCATGTATCTCCACATAGAGTTTCCCTAGTGGGCGCACGCGTGGCAAACCAAACCCCACAGAGCGTCAGAACACGAGCAGTTCTGGATGCCTGGTGGAAGTGAACACTGATTTTCACGTCACTGACACATCTTTCCCCTGCGTTGCTGCCTCCTGCTATATGGGATTCTGGATTTAGCTCATGGAAAGTAGTGAAAAGGAATGAAGAATTTTACAGTTGCCATTGCATTCAGGTCTGAGTAGAAGAAAAGAGTGTTTTTTTTTTTTCATTTCAGTGCTCATAGTCTTAATTTTTCCCATCACCTTTGTGAAGTCCGCATGTGGTCACTGCCTGTGAAGGGTCTGAGGTCAGGGTCAGCATCTGGGGTCAAATTTCTGTTTCCACATCTGAAGTCTCCACCAAGGAGCCATCCTGGAAAGTGACGGCAGCCTAGGAACTGGATTATATAAGATATTAGCTCAATTCTAAGTGCTTTGTAGTTCTTTTATGGATTTCCGTTAACCCTTCACTTCAGTACAACTCAAGAACACCCCAATAGCCCTGACGACATGACAGACAGTCACGGGCTGCCCAGGCTGCTTCTCGAACCCTGAGCCTGCCCCGGGCCGCTCCCCTCGCTGTAGGTGGGCAGAGACCTTGGATGTTCCTCTGCCAACTTCCTGTGCCCAAACTAGCTTCCACGCAGATCCACGCCCTCTCACTAGCGGGTTCTGGGTGTGCCCCCAGGTAAGTGATAGCCAGAGAACACAGGCCAGCTCACACTCAGCGGGACACTCCGCTGATGCCTGCGCAGTGGTAAAACAGGCACTGGAATATCATTTAGAGCACATGGCATACTTATCTATATAACATACTGTAGTGATATACAACATGTAGTTTATGTTGCATAAAATTAGTCTATCTGATTGGCTCTGTAGATGTTATCTAGATCTAAGAGGCAGATTATACCTACGATCTATCTCTTCCTCCCAGTCAATAAAGAGGTGGGATCCGATAATCAATTCATTAGTCCTTCCCAGACTAATTAGCCCACACTGACCTCATGATGAATATTCCATGCTATGAAGCTGCAGTTATTTTAGATCATTTCACTTGCATTGTCAGCACCTCCATTATTGAAGTTCATCATTTTAGGCTGTTTAATCTTTTTTTTTTCTTTCAAAGACGAATTTACAACAAAGCTGAGATCCAAACTCCTTTTCCATAGTGTTTAGATTGTGGGAAGACATCAAGAGATAATTATGTTCTTTCATATAAAAGTACTGCCCAAATGAATTGTTTTTTTTCCTTTTACTGTGTAGTATACTCTGATGTGATTAGTGTTATGTAAGAAAGTGCTAAATGTTAGATTAAAATTTGAATTATTTGAGGAATGATCTCTAATGAATTAAAAGCCTTTGAAATTAATTGTGAATTCCAAGCAGTTCTTTTCCTGGTGCTGTGAGCATCCACATGCTGATATGTGGAGAACTTTTTCCTCCTCTTATTTTGATGGGAGCCTCTTTGCTGGTGTCTCATGCATTGGCCATTCTCCTCACGAAGATGAAATGCATGTCAAGAATGCAGAGTCCCCGATCCCTAGGGTCCTGGGCAGTCAGCCACCCTGCCCATTCCCGTCTCCTGTCAGCGGGTGTTTCCCTTCATGTTACCATAGTCCTTAGACTCTGTGCGAGTGGAGATCTTTGGGCTCCATGGAGGGTAAGCAGCTCCTAATGTCAGGGTTAAGTTCCCTTGCTAGGAAAGGCAGGATTTCAGCTTTCTTCCAAAGAATGGATGTAGGAAAACGTTCAAAGGTCCCCGGTGACTTTTGTCACTGTCCCCAGTGACAGTTTGCTCTCTCCTTGTTCGGTGTGGGTCGGGGGAGTGTTGATATTGGTGGCTAATTTGGACAATGAGACATGCAGAGAACAGGGTCCTGAAAGCAGAGAAAGAAGCTCCCATTCATACAGAAAATTGACATGAAGAGATGCTTTTTGCCTGAACCGTGTATTTCCTTTTCTTTTGGCTGTGCAGGGGTTTGAACTCAAGGCCTTGCACTCACTAGGCTGGTACCATGCCACTGAGTCATGCCGTCAGCCCTGCTTTTCCCTGCTTGTTATTAGGAGAGGGTCTTGCTTCTTGCCTGGTTGTAGGCCTGCACCTAGATCCATCTGCTTGAGGGATCCCTGTATCCCTGGGGTGACAGACGTGCGTCCTGGTGTCCAATGCCCCTCTGTGGAGACATCATTGCCTGGCACTGCTCTCATCATCTCAGGACCCCTGCGGCTGGGGCGGCAGGCAGGCATGTGCGATTGCCAGCAATGGGTGAGAGTAAGAAGAGATCCTGTGAATGATCCTGCCCCAGCAGACCTCTAACCACATTCCTTCTGTTCTTAGACTCCCAAGTAGCTAGGATTAAAGACCTAAGTCCCTGGTGCCTGGCAGAAGTGTATGTTCCTTTAGAATCAACTTACATCTCTCACGCTATCTGATTCTTTGATAAATATAATCATTGTTGGCAACTTTCTGTATTATATGTGCTTGTGTATTATATATGTGTATTATACATTTTACATATATGTTATATAGGTGTAACACACATATATTATCTATGTATATATCTTTATACGTTATGTATGTGTGTATTAAGTATTTTACATATGTGTTATATAGGTCTTACATTGTATATATCTTATATGTATTATATATTATATATTACATATATTTCACATATGTGTTATATAGGTCTTACACACATATATTATCTATGTATTTACCTTTTATAATATATTATGTGTATTTATTTTATATTTCACATATATGTTACACACGTCATATTATCTATGTATATCTATTATATTTAATATGTATATATATATATATTATATGTTTCAGGTTAGCTCACTGAAGTTGTTAAGAATCTCGGTGGAAATAACATCTCTGGCCAGCATCTTTGCACTTTTCATTTGTCATATTCTTAACAATAAGAATTCTTGGAAACAAGGAGAATTCAGGATATTGACACCTCCAGTAGGACTATAGTAATTCTTGTATGAGCGGAAGAGTCTTGGTCAGTGCTGCTGAGAACACTCTTG